GCTCCTGCCAAGGGGGAGAAACAGGTGAATCATAATGGCGAACCCAGTGATTCCCCAGCATTATCACCACTAATCTACACATGGCCCTGCCAGACCCAGCCTCAAAACAGAGCCATGGAAACTGCCGCCGCTGTGTGGCTTTCCTGCCTGGTTCCACCTGCAGGCCCGTGTCCCCAGCCAGCCCAAGCTCCCAGGGCCCCGCAGAGCACAGACAGTACCAAGGACACCCAAACTATCTCTTGAGACTACGGGGGAGGGGGGGGGTCACAGGAGCAAGTCCCTGGAGCGCCAGCAAAACCATCAGCATAATGCGGACTGGCACAGAGGATTTGCCCGTATCTCCCCCAGCTGCCCTATTCACGGGGCCCACAGAAGCAGAAGAGGCAGCCATTGCGGAGTGCAGGATGGATGGCTGCCCACTCTGACACTGCAGGAAAGAGATAAATGACCGGTCATTTCCCCTTGATGCACTTGAAGGCATCCATTCTCCCAGCTCTACCACGCTCGGGCAACCCCCCCTGGGCCCCCCTGCACAGAGACAGATAAGACTGACAGATGGGGTGGGGGAAGGACACAGCCAGACTCCTCTGCAGGCCGGGAGAAGGTCACACTGTCCACCGCTCACACCTGGCTCAGGGCTCCATGAGTCCTTTCCCTCACCTCCCCCGCTGGTACCCATCCTACCCAGCTCATCCATCTGAAGCGCACATGGCAGAGAGGGAGGGCTGGGGGGCACAGGCCCCCGCTGACAGCCTCATCAATCTCAGACTACATGCTTGGCACATCAGCGTTCCTTAAGTTGTTCGTGGAGAGGAGGATGTCAGAGGACCTGGAGGGACTGTCTTAGAGAGAAGAGAAATCACACTGAACATCAGAGAGCAAATGGTAGAAGAAGCCTGGAGACGATTAAAATGTGGGCCATGTACAAAAGCAGTAGGGAACTAATTAAGATGCAGGATTTTTTCAAAAGCTGAGGAAGTTGGCCGCAGCCCACTCCCATCTGTAAAGTTCTGGCAGTTCAGAGCAAGCAGGCCCAGAGCCCTAGGTGGGCAAGGCAGGCAGGACTCAGGCCTCTCTCTGCCTGGACCGTCTACTCACTGACACCCCTCCGAGAGACCTGGTATCTGCTTGCTTACTGCAAGAAGCTGTTGGCCGGCTTATGGCTCCCACTGCTTTGGGATATCCTAAACTACAGTCTCCTTCAGGCCTGCTGACAGAAGTCAGTTTCCCCAAAAACATGGACAGGGGGTTCTGGGTCATTTATCTCCAGTCATTGAGAGACTGCCAAAATGTATTACAAGAAGAAGAAGGAGGAGGAGGAGGAGGAGGAGGAGGAGGAGGGGTGGAGGAGGAGGAGGAGGAGGAGGAGGAGGAGGAGGAGGAAGAACCAGAACCAATTCCAGGCTACCTTCTTTCCCATCATCCATGGCATTAGGTAGAGAAGCAAAGAGCTTCTGCTGCTCCCCAACTGTCCCAGGATGGAGGGGATCAAGGCCCCACTACTCAAGGAACAGGAGGCATTTCAACCTTCAGATTCTGATAGCTCCATGATGATCATGTGTGCCGGGGTCGTGGAACAAGGTGTTCCTTGGTTCCCACCGGCTCCCCTTAGAGTTCTTGGCTTCCCCATCAATACCCCCTGGGAAATTAAGTTCCTAATCTTCACTACGGTCTTGCAGCCTCTAAAATGAAGATAATATCTTCCTGGGACCATAGGGACCAAAGGTCTGGGGCAGAAAGACGCTAAATTGATCTAAGCAGACTATCTGAGCATTTGATCCAGAGGGACATAAGTAAAAGTTTGTTCCCAGCCTTTCTCTTTCCTTTATCAAAAAAAAAAAAGTGAAGCTAAAGGCCCTTTTTTTAATCAGCTGGCTTCTGCTCAGTATCCACCCCTGCTTTAGGGCTTTCCAGTGGGTATTTACCACCCATCTTTCTTGCCTGCCAGCTCACCCACTTGCCAAGGGATGACAGAGTTCAGTCCTTCAGGGGAGGGCGGGGGGGGGGAGAGGGAGGCCCCTCACTAGCCCCAGCTATATGCCTGAGGCTGGGTATGGTAGAGAATGTGACGTCTGAGTTGTCATACACCTTGCTTTGCTTCTGCAGCCAAACGCAAGCTATAGAGAACACTGAACTCGGTTGTTAGTCAGGCGAAAGAAATAATGTTGTATGTGTTGTCCTTCAGCCACCCAGGCAAGTAGGAGGTTGGGAAATGTTTGTTCAAGACTGATTGGGGGGGGGATGCTGGGCGTGAGAAGTGTCCGGGTCCAGGGACATCAGGAACGCTCTCCGACTTTAAAAAGCTCTCCCAGGCTCCCAGCCACCTCCCACCCCACGCACACACAGTTTTCTTTCCAGTAAGTAGTAAAGAAACGTAGGAGGGTGGCATTGTCACAGTGAGGCAGATGGGCTGAGGAAAGCAAGACTGGGGAGTCCCTCCATCGGGGTGTAATTGAGACCAGGAATGAACAGCTTATTGGCAGCCAAGAGCTGGCTCTGCTCTCCCTACCCAGGGAGCCTCCTTGCCCCAGATAAGTTTTGTGCTCTGGGGGCACAACCAGAAGTGATCGAAGGGATGGCTCATCGGCCCCGCCCTGACCTCAGACCCTCTCCAAGGTCCCTTAGGCCTCCTGAGGCTGTACCCTCTCCCTCTGATCGGACCCAGCTTCCCCACACAGCTGTGCAGAGCCAGGGCCAGGCCCGTACTGACCCTCATACATCCTGGTCTTTGCCGTAAGCTGCCTGTCACCACCAGACTCAGACAGGGGCAAAAATGAAGATGGAAGGACACACTGGGAATGGCACAATACACAACCAAAACACTCCGCTGTCCTTGAGCCCAAAGCAAATGGAATAAAAATAAGTGATCGGGTGTTTGAGAATAGCATCCAAGTCAAGCCTATGCTTAGGGAGGACATACCCCAGAAAAGGGAGGAGGGCCTCTCATGTGGAAACTATATGCTGTGCATGCTAAGCACAGATCACCCCCACACAGGGACACGATGCAGCCTGTGCTCCCCACCCCACCAGGAGGGGCACCTTCTTAAGTGTCCACCCAGAAAAGGCACACCACTATCTATTCTTGCACAAAGGCACCATGTGCTGTAGGCGAGGCTCTAGAATGTAGGCACTTGCTTAAAATGTTGGCTAACATGAAAGAATCCAAATGTAGATGGGCTCTGCCTCTCGGAAAAGTGGTGTGCAACTTTGATGGGTCCTGGCTGCTTCCAGGTTCCAGGCCGAGGCTCGCTCATCATCCCTGGGGCCCAGGCCTCTTCAATGGTGTCTTTATTTACCACCTACAGTTGCAGCAGTATAGGGGCATGCCTAAGCACCAGCCTAGACCTGGTGGCAGACTCAGAACAAGATCAGGAAACCACCCACAGGCAATTGGACATAGACTTTGGGGCTTAAGGTTTCGTAGGCTTAGCTCGTAATAGGTCTACAGATCCAACGAGGGGAACAAGTTCACCTGAGAAGAACCACTGTCATTACCCTGAGGTGCTTACTGTCTTCCAGGAGCTGGGAGCTGGCTAGAGGAAGGAGCTGACCCTGAACTCAGCACTTCCCACCTGCAGATGTGGCACCCACCATGAGGTCCATCCCTCCAAGAGCCAGAGCCATCCTTGATCTTGCTCCAGGATGCTGAGTATCTGTAGGACTGAGCCTTTACCTGCCAAACCTGACAGAGCCTCTTCTGCCAGAAGAAAACACAGAGGAGAAACCTTCAAAGGGTCACAAATCCAGCCACTGTGTGCTAGGGATGGCTACAGAAAACCGCCAGCTCAGTTGGTTTTCTTTCTCTGGCCTGTCACAGCAGGCCAGAATGCAGCTGTTTCTTGGGTATCCACAGGCAAGGCACAAACTCTGGGACACCAGGATGCTTAAAGCACACACTTGTAGATGGAAGGGCCACGAGCTAGCCTGGAGCTTCTTGCCTCCCTCTGTTGAACTATTTACCTTCTATTTCCATGGATTGTGTCTCTAGGACACTTGGATCTCCTAGAGCCTGCATCAAGGAGGGGGTTGGGACAACTCAGCCATTGCCATGAAGTATTTGTGAGGATCTATAAATTGTGTGAGGGCATTTCAGAACACAGAAAGAGCCCCCCTGAAGAATCTAGCTTCTGCCCATCCTCCACAAATAAAACTGCTACCTAAGTGAAATCTGGGTAAAGCAAACAATTCCAGACCACCACAGTAAAGCATTTACAGCACAAACACAGGCTAAGGGGTCAGTGCAGAAAGAGGGGGTTGAGGGAGCTGCCACACGCCCAGCAATACTGGTGACACGGGGCAGGAGCACTGACTCTGCTTGCACCTCCTGAATTGCATTGTTCCCACCGTTCCAGTCACATCCCAGCTGTGTAGCCTCCAAAACAGAGAACTGCTTAACAAAGGCCCCAAGACAATCACTTGGCCTTCTTTCATCCCAGACACATTTATGAAGACAACCATGAGGGCTGAGATGTGATATCAGCGGTGTCAAGTTCCCAATTTCCTCCTGCAGAACCACTCCAACTCTTCCATAGGGGAAGAGTTAATGATCTGGTCCTTTCCGAGTATGATGCTCCCAGTAGTTCACTCAGGCAGTGGGGAGAGGGTCTGCAAGGTCTCTCTTCTCCTTCGACACACAACCTGAGGCAGGTCTCTTTACTTGAGAACACAGGAAGGTAGTGCCTGGCCCAAGAGCATGCAACAACTTGGGCTCTGGTAGGAGCTCCTGGGCCTGGCCCCTGCTGCTCCCTGCTTTGTCTCCCTGGAGTAGCAAAAGAGGGAAGACAAGGAAGGGGGACCCGGCTAGAGATGCCAGAAGAGAAATGCATGAGGACATGTGGGCAAAAGTGCCCAAAGTGGACTCAGAGACACACTTCTGAGAGTCCCATGGGTACTTGATGTTCTGAACTACTCACAATCTAGATCAAGAAGCCAGCTAGCGATTGTACTCAGGCCTCCCTGCTCAGCTGCCACAGCCCTGCTGAGGTCCCCAGGACACTCACCAGGCTTGATTTCCAGCAATCGTAGCTTCGGGTCCTCAGGTGGATGCAATCGTCTTTTCTTGCGCCAGCAGCGGGCTGGGTATGTGTACAGCTGCCCTGGAGCCAACCCTATGGACAGAGACAATGTAAAGATAAAAAGATCTCAGGCTGGAAGGAACCCTGGAAACTACCCTGACTGGTCTTGTCATTCACAGGAAGGGAAAACTCAAGCACAGTCAACATCTGGCTTATGATAGAGTCAAGGCTGAATCTGGATCATCTGACCTCAGTCCTTTGCTCTCTCTGCTCCACCAAGCTGTTCAACAAGGCCATGCCAGGAAAAAAACAAAACAAAACATTGCCTTCACCAATTCTGCTATCTAGACCTAAGAAGAACACTAGAAGAACTTCCAGCCCCCAGAAGCCTACCAGCCAACCTCACTACCGCACTCCCAAGGCTATAGGGCTTCTCTCTCTCCAGGTTCAAGTTTTCCCTTCAAAGTTGAGCAGAAGTCACAAGTCAACCAGAGGAGCATTTCAAAGCCACAGGATCAAAAGAGCTACATATGCTTACTGTCTCCTCCCATCACCATTGGCTGAGAGCAGCCTCATGGGACTCTATACCTATTATGGAGACCAGGCTCCATGGCCTACATCCTGGGACATCCCTGCTACCAGCCTGGGCCTTACACAAAGAAATGGGCTCATGAATCACTCTGTCTTCCAATGGGAGCTCCCACTAACATTAGGCCTCTGACATCTCCAGCATCCTTATCATGCCAATCCCCACACACACACAGGGAGACTTCTTGCTCATCAAACAACTCCTTGTGGTTCCTGTAGTACACAATATGGTAGGCAAAGTCCTAGGAAGTGGGTGGATTCTCCACACTAGACCAATGGAGTCCGTTCTGGAAAAGGGTAAAGTCTGCACTTAAACTGAGTGTGCCCTCCTAAATCCCTTTGATGTCTCTCCAAATAAACCAGCAAGCCAAGCAGCCCCCACTGCCTTGCTAGATGGAAAGCCAGTGAGAACAGGGCTTCTCTCATTCTTCTTTTATTTTGGGGGTGGGGGGGGTGGGGGAAAGAGATGCTGTACTGGGGCTTGAACTTAGGGCCAAAGACTTTCATTTGGTTTTTTTGTTCAAGACAAGTGTTCTACCACTCGAGCCACCTCTCCACTTCTAGCTTTTCCCTGGTTAACTGGAGATAAAGAGTCTCATGGACTTACCTCCCCGGGCACTGATGAACAGTGATCATCAGATCTTAGCCTCCTGAATAGCTAAGGTTAGAGGACTGAGACACCAGTCCTTGGCTTTCCTGTCTTTATTCTTGTTAGAACCTTGAGACCCAGAACTGAGCCTGATAGGTAGAAGAAGCCAGATATGTGTCTGTTGAATGGATGGATGGATGGATGGATGGATGGATGGATGGATGGATGGATCTATTCCAACTTCCCTTTGTTTGTATTACAGTGAAGTCACAGCTCTGTCATATGTAGCTATGTGTGACAAGGACAGCTGTTGGATGTAGGCAGCCCCACATAACAGTGTCACTGCTGACACATCAGACCACAGGGACCCAAATACATCAAGACCCTACTTCCACTTGTTCATTTCCATTTTAAGGCCTTTACAAGTTAAAAGAGGGAACTGCCTTCTCTTTTTTTTTTGCCTTTGTAGGGGGAAAGTCTATAAAAGTTCCCCTACTATATATCCATTTATACACTTCTCATTTTCACCTGTCATCTTTACACTCCTTGAGCTGGATCCCAAGCAGAGGTAACTAGCCTAGCATTAAAGAACCAAACTGCTCAGGTACCCTTATGTGTTAAGTATCATTTAAACCCCAAAGCAGTTCCCACTAATTTCAAAACTATGAATAAGGTGAAGGTTTTGCTCCCTCTCCCTCTTTGATCGCAGGAAACTAGTAAGATTGAGAAACAGTAGGCTCCTGACTCATGGGCTTCTGCACTGAAGGATTCTTCAGCTCTGAGCTTCCTGAGCTCTGAGGACCAGGCATGTGGCCATGTTGAGAAGACCGAATGAGTCAAAGAAAGTCTGCCTGACCAGCTTTGCCTCCTGGCCATGGCCTGTCTCGCTGTGGCCTCTCTTGAGGGGAGGCATTGCTGGACATGGCTCAGTGTGTCTGGTGTGGCTCACTTCAGGACTGTTCCATCTCTCCTCCCATCATTCCTGAATGGATGCACTCATTCTGGAGACATTCCAGATGTACAGGTCACCTCCAAGGATGGTGGCCCCCCAGGATCTTAGAATTCCCACTGTGAGAAACACAATCTGCCTCTCAAACACTGCTGTCAGGAGTGTGATTGGCCACATGGATGAAGAAATTGGCTTACCCAGGACAACTACCAAGCTCTTCCCCTTTGACCCAGCAATTACATTTCAAGAAATCTGTATCACAGATCCACACATAAAAATACAATACCCATTATAGTATATTTTATCCTATCAAAGATGGAAACAATCCAATTTCATCTACAGGGACTTGGTTAAATAAACAATGATAATGGACTATTTTTAATAGTATAATACACTACTAAAAAGTTAAGCTAATGCTCAGGGCTGGTGGCTCACACCTGTAATCCTAGCTACTGGGGAGATCTGAAGATTGCAGTTCAAAGTTACTCCAGGCAGGAAAGTCCATGAGGACTCCAACTAACCACACACACACACACACACACACACACACACACACACACACACACACACACACAGAAGTGGAGATGTGGCTCAAGTGGTAAAGTTCTAGCCTTAAGCAGAAAAGCTAAGGGCACCCAGGCCTGGGGTTCATGCCCCAATATCAGTGCAGAGAGTGGCGGGGGGTGGAGGAGGGGGGAGAAAGAGAGAAGGGAGAGGAAGGAAAGGGAAGGGAAGGGAAGGGAAGGGAAGGGAAGGGAAGGGAAGGGAAGGGAAGGGAAGGGAAGGGAAGGGAAGGGAAGGGAAGGGAAGGGAAGGGAAGGGTAAGGAAGGGAAGGGAAGGGAGGGGAAAGGAGATGTTTCAAAATCTTGACTAGCCAAAGATGGAAGAATGTAAGCATCCATCAGAATAATGCCTGCCAATGACTAAAACATGAAAAATGTTTAACTCTGAGATCACGATGATACTCAAATAACTTTATTGGTTATTTTTTTAAGAATATCAAGGAACTAACTTAATATTTTGAAAACTGGTAAATAAAATGATAAAATCATTTATCCTGCCTTTCTTAACTATACCTCACAATAACCAAATAACAATCACTTAAAATCAGGTGTCACCTTTTCTGAAAATCTTAACGGAATATGAGTCTAGTGATTATCATCAAGGGCTGCTAACATCAAGAAAAGAGAGATACCCACATCACAAGAGCCTCCTGAAGAAAATACACTCTACCACTTAGGAATCATTATTGCCAAAATAAAAAATTAGTTTAAAAATGGAAGGGGAATAAGAACCTAAATAAGTCTCTAGACCTAATTACCAATTCACAGGAGTAAGACCACAGGGATGCAATCAGTTCTAGGAAACCCTATGGTGCAAGCAACCCCATTCCTTTAACAAATAACATGTAAGGATGACGAGAGAGAAAGCAGAGAGGAGCCCACAGATCTAAAGAGATTTAAGAGATATATGTCCATCAATTATAATATAACATAAAGATTTTATTTGGATCCTATCTTAAACTAGAGGTAGAAAATGAATATGGATCAAATATTTGATGATGTTAAATTCTAATTGATATGTGTTTGCAGGCTAAGGGTTGACTCCATTTTTAAGTACCTATACTATACAACAACACACTTATAGGTAAAATAACATGTTGCCTTGGTTTTGCTTCAAAATAATCTGGAAACAGGGAGAAAAGTAGCAAGAAGAGGATGAATGAAACAAAATTGACCCGGGTTGATCATTGTTGAGGCTGGGCTACACAAACATTCGTTTCACTCTTCTCTTCATTTTTATATGGGCATGACATGTTGTAAAAAAAATTTTTTTTGTTTTAATTATGCCTACATAAAGCCAGCCAACAAACTGGCCCCAGTAAAAATCTGGGGTTAGGGCAGGATGGCAGATCAAAAGCATTCACAATCTAGAGTAAGGCAAACAATAAATAAAAAGGTAACACAGTCTCTCCTGTGCTACCTGAAGAGAATAAGAGAGGAAGAGTATCAGACATCATGAAGGAGGAAACAAGATAGTAAAAAAGCACACGAAAACCAAGGCAACCGAGAAAAGCATCAAACAGTTCCAAACCCCATCCCTGGCTTTCCAGGAGAGGGAGAAGAGGCAGATTAACCAGGTGACAGACTGCCAATCTAGCTGTGAGATTAACCCCCACACACCTCCTGAAAGAATTAAACCTCATGCAAGGGTTTGCAAGATAGCAACTGTTCTGGTGTGGCAGGCTAGTCATGGTAAAGAAAGACACTCTGTTCTTAACCAGCTCAGAGGGCTGTGGCAAGATGCCATGTTGAGAGAAAGGCCTATTTTTTTTCTTCTAACTGTGATACATTTGAAAATAAGATACAATCGTGGCTCAGGAAGTCTTGGGATAGCCTGCCACAAAGACTGGGTGAAAAACTGCCACAAGAAGTGGTTACATTGAAGATGAGAGTCTCATACAGCCCACTGTGGGGAACTGTATCAGCACAGGATACAGTTCTGCTCTTCAGAGGCCTCACCCTTCTGCTAAGGCAGAAAGAAAGCAGGTCTGCCTCCTAGGTGGCTTAGAGCCCTGCTCCCAGACTCTCTGAATCGCCTGATACCTACAACTACCTCAACACACACACACACACACACACACACACACACACACACACACACACACACACACACACAGATACACAGAAGCCAACTCTGATGCGGGGGCTGAAAGCATACATCCGGGAACTACATCGTGGCATGAGTTTGCTGACAATCAGGACTGAGCAACTAGGACCCTCAGTCCTCCCGCCCATTAAAGATCTCAATGTTCTGCATGATTCCCCCACTCACAGGTGCATTCAAACCCCCAAGGTTTGCTGGCCCTGAGGGCACAAACCAGGGCACCTGTAGGACAAGTGGTAATCTGCTTAGCTCACAAACTACAAAACTCTCTGCAGCCAATAGCAGCTCCCAGTGCACAA